AAAAGTGAGCCTTCTTGGATTTTTTGCTTCCTTACTTTGCTGAATTGTAACGCAGTTGTCTGTCTTAAGTAAGCATTCCACAGCATATCTCCAGGTTCAGCTCCAGTCCTTGCATCTGTCTCTATTTCTTTACAAAGTGTAAGAATTGAAGTCTCTGTCAAACCGGCACCAGTGTCCAAATCCTCTCCCTTGTAAAGCGTGGCAAACAGGCGCGAGCCTACAATAAACAGTGTCTGAATGAATCACTGTTTCTCGAGCCCTGCCTAGTCATGAGTTCCTGAGCTGAGGTGATGAGGAATATTGAGCACCATAAAACAAGAGGTCTCCTCCATTACAGCTGCTTCACAGAGCCCATCGGGTCTCTGTAATAAAGAAATACCTTCAGCCCTGGGCTATGAGTGTCCTGCAGAATATTCTGGAGAAGTTCCTGCAAGCGCTCTCAAAGGAAATCAGCAGGCTCTGTTGTCCTCCCAACCCCTCATGCCTCTGTGTCCAGAATACTCATGCTCATCAGAACTTGTACTCTGGGTAAATCGACTGGTGCAGGCCTGTAATCCTAGCTATGCTGAAGGCTGAAAAGTCAAGACCTACCTGAGCTGTACTATACAGTCAGTTCCAGGCGATTTTGGACAACTTAGTGTGACCTTGTCTCAACAAACATAGAATTAAAAGAGATCTAGATACCTGGAAGAGCCCTTGCTGAGAATGAGCAATACTTTAGGGTCAAGGGTAGGAAGGAGGCCTGTAAATTGAGATTTACCTTAAATATATTTGTTAAATCACAGAATAAACTAGGATGTTAAAATCTCTCCTCAAAATAAAACCAAAACTCAGGAAAACTGTAGCAACTGTATGGGAGCCAGTAAGGCTTTTTGTTTTCTTCATCACGGAGTGTGTTTATCAATTCCGTACCATAGGCAGGCAAGCTACTGTGCAGCTAAATGGTTACACTACCTCCTAGCTAAGGAAAACTGAGCTGAGGGGTACTTAGCACGATTGACAGAACTGGTACCTGGTGCAATAGGCAGCTGAACTCTCACAGGACTCCTTTTTGCTTCCACACGCAAGTAACTTCATTTGGAGTGTGACAGTTATATCTACCATTGGAACTGCTCTCCCTCACCTCCTGACCTTCTAGATCATACGATATAGAGGAATCCTCTGCAACACCCCCACTGCACAGATGAGGACACAGAAGTCCAGAGATGAGAAGAAACTGTTTAATGTCACTCAAGCCAATAAACTGCAGGGCTAGGAATAAAGTAATATTTTATGTCTTTGAGGTAGCCCCTTTTTCTATATTCAGCCTCCTCTGTAGTATGATAGTTCTAGAACTCTCTTTCTGCTGTCCCCCTTTGCTTAATAACACGTTAGAACATCCAAAGGCTGGCAGCATTTGGGAAGCTCTTATAACAGCGGGGTATATGCACCAGAGGTCATGGACAAAGTCATTCCCTCCTTCCTTGCTGTGCCCCTGAAGTGTATCATAAGAGCACATTCCCTTACTGCGGGCTGCTCACCAGCATGTCCTAGCTCAGGATGAGCGTGAAGGAAAATGAAGTAACAGGACAGTGTACTGCTCTTGAACATCACTAAAAGTATGAGCCTTGGAACTCTGTGCAGAGGGAGCTAGTGCCTAAATGTGGCTATTCCTATTCAGTTTGCATGGCTACAGGACAAGGACCTCTGTCATCAACGAGAATGTGACTGTTCAATATGTATAATTTCATGTTTATGTTCACGGTTACCAGATGAGGTAGACAAATCGAGCTGACAACATGCTGATTGCACTTACATATGTGCTAGGATGGGTAGCGTGGATAAGCCTTGGATAAATCACATATAAACTGAGCATGTGGCGTGTCCTGGGAACCAGTAAGAGTACAAAGGAGAAATCGAAGAAATATCCTCTGCTCTTTAAGAGTTTGCATTCCGACCCAAGAAATGTAATAAAAAACGACACATACAAGTTTCCTTAAGTGAATGGCAGACAGAACTTCCCAGGAAATATTTAGCCATGGCCAAATTTGTTATTTATTTGATATTCTGTGATCTGAGGTCAGGGGATAAGGGAAAGCTTGTCTAATGGTGAGAGCTGTTGACCACCAGAGAAACTGCAAGTCAAACATGAAGACATCAAGGTGATCCAGACTTGAGCTCGGGTGATTATTCAGCCAGCTACCCGTTCTGTCAATCATGCCCAGTCTCCCTCATCCCAGTCCTCCTCCACATCTTCCTTCAAGACCTTGAAATGTATTGAGCAAGTCCTGACTTTCTGGGAGAAATTGGGACAGGCATAGAGCAGTGGACCACAAGAGGAAACATGAAGGACTATTTACCACACGCAGGACAAAAGACAGTCTGCCATGCTATATGAAACAGAAGTTGTATGTAAATTCTTCAATATGTTGCATAGAAAAACAAAACAAAACAAAACAAAAATTCTCTTTCTTTCTCAAAAAGACTTCAGGTTGATGTGTGTATCTTAAAGGCAGTGTCATGAGACACAGCTGTTACAGACTGGATGAGGGGCCAGGCTTCTTTATCAACTGCTACCACATCAGTGTTTGTTCCTGTAACTAACACAGGTCACCATTTTCAAGACCCCATAACTTCATTCCCCATGAGCATTCACCTAAATATCTCTAACATTTACATTTTATGACAAATTAAACTGCAACTTTTTCCATGGAGAAAGTGCTAGAAAAATCTACAGTATACAGTATATGCACTACTTGTTCCATGATTTCTCGTGAAAAGTCTAGTAAAGTGGTCTAAAATCAAAATCATTAAAGTTTTAGATTTTATCTATTTTTAAGGAGGATTTTAGAGAATGCAAATTATTATATTCTCTAAAGAGCTGAAGTCATAATCATGTCAATAATCACTACAGGCAGTTTCTCTTAAAGCTTTCCTACAGAAGAAGAAAGCAGGATTATACCACTAGTAGACCTAAGAAGTACAAAGCTGAAATTAAAAAGAAAGTTTTTATTTCCTTCCATCATGTACAAGCTAATTACTGTTAGAGTACCAACATCTATGCCACTCAGAAAAAACAAAGTTGATTTCAATGAATGGGGGTTAATTAATAATTAGGAGCCCACAATTTTTCCTGTCCATATTTAAGAACAAATAGAACTTTCTACAAATCATGTAATGTACAATTGCTATTCACTATAATACTCTGTGAATATTGGTCTTTATTCCATGAAAATCCAACGTCTTTCACACAAACATTACTTTGAAACTGAAAAAATGACTAAAAAGTAGAAAGAATTTGCTACATATTGTTACAGCGTATAGGGCTGGGGACAGTGATCTCTGGCTTTGACCCCTGGCCCACACCACAGCCTATGAGGTTCTGTAGTTTTTGCCTTTCACTAACACGTACAGTTTCAATAGATTTATTGTTGTTCATGGAGAAGAAAGTACAATGAGATAAAAAGAGAGCTCGGAAATACAGAATGCCTTTTCCCTTTCCTCCCTATCAGTAAGAAAAAGCCTTCTTACCCATATTATGATGCAGAGAAATGAATTGAGACTATAGAACATTGAAGAAATATACAAGTCCTTCCTGTTGTTCAGTTAAGGATTCAAAGTTAGAGCCAACTGTATGGTTTGGAGGATGGGGAAGGTTAACCTGATGAGCACAACTGGAAGCTACAGAGGAAGACATGACTTTTCCATAAAGCTTATCTGTAAAGTGGTAACACTGGTCCTGTGTGTCCTTTCCTTTCATGTTACTCTCTACCCTCTGAACACTGAGCGGTGGTCCTTATTCCAGCACAGAGCTCCAGGGTTGTTAGTGATGAACACTCTCTACACATTTCATTTCATTGTTAGACAAACCAGTGCCACACACACAGATGAAGTGAGCTCCTCAGCCACTGTAGAGACCAGATTTGAGCACAGGCTTGCAGCGAGAAGACAGGATGACCACATGCTGCACAGGACTGCTTCATGCAGTGGCATGTGGGACTTATTAAAAGAACCAAAGGTCTCTACAGGTTCATAAACTCAGGAGCCATTACAAAGATTATGACACACTAAGATATTAGGCCTAAGGGAGCTCCCAGATGGACATAACCACACTGATTTATTTGTTTATTTATTTATTTGTGAGGTGTTATTAACATTTAAAATTCTTTACAAAAGTTTCTTTACAAAATTATTAATGTTTAGTTTTGGTTTCTTTTTGTAAGACATACATTAGTAAGATAGAAATGATGAATTTATTTACGTCCTCTGTCAGCTTTGTGTGCTGCCTAAGAGATAGCAATGTCATAAGGTATGTGGCCAGTGTGTACTCAAGGATATAGTGATTTCTCCTTTAAATACCATGGTCAGATACTACCATAAACAGTTACACCGGCTTTAAGGTTTTCACTAGAGAAGCTTTAAATGTTATTAATAATAAATTGCCAATGTGGTTGCATATAAAATCTGTGTTCCTAGATACTCCATTTTCTGTATCTATAAATTAATTCATGAGTTTAGCTATGCAATTCTAAATAGTATTTTCCTTTGCTTTTGGGTACTTTTCACATTAAGTGTTCCAATTTTATCAACCTTCTAGAACTGGTACAGTTTTGAAAATGTGCAGGGGCACTAGGTACAAACACAACCAAGAAACAAGTATACCATCAGTAACAATTCCATGCCTGTTCTCTGTCTTTTCTTTACTTAGAACTTCGAGCCTAAGAGTTACGCTCCCATCTTACGTTAAATACTTTCTCTTTACTCTGGATTCCGAAGCTTTTCATGCAGCAATTTCCCTTCAGCCATAAGGGTATTATAAGGTCATCATGAAGTCCTAAATTTTGAACACTATCCACTCCAAAAAGGATGTAAGTGGGTGATGTTTAAGGTTGTAAGTGGGTGAGAATCAACCACAAGTTCAGTTGATTCCTTAGGCAGGGGACAAATGAGACAAGGAGGCTCTGGAAGTGAATGGACCAGTCGTGAGAAGGAGGGGGGCATCTGGAGAGGTTTCTGCTTACCCCTTGTTCAGATTCCAAAAGCTCTGTTTTGACTCTGACTGCCGGCATCCCATCAAGCATTAGCATTCTGTTCTCAAGGGTGTTGAGATTCTGAGAATAGAAGAAAGAGTGAGATTCAGTTCTGAAGCGCTAGAAGAGGCCATCACTGGGAATCTTCCTTCACTGCCAACCCTCAAGTACTGCTGACCTAATTCTTCTAGAAGGGAGCCTAATTAAATGAGAATATCAGCATGACCAATTATCCTCCTATGTGAACTTTCATTTGAAATAATGACTAGGAAGTTGACTAAATCAATGTGACTCTCTGACCCCTGGGTTGGAGGTCAGGCTATAATAAACTGCAGCGTGGAAGCATTACATTAATTTATATGGGGCTGGGAAATTTATAACACCTTCTCAATAGTGGGAGGAAATACATGGCAAGGCCCTTTGTCTTGTTCTTAGCTCTGCAAGCTGTCTTGTGTACAGAATCATAAATGAAAAGTCAGATTAAAAAAAACAATCCTATACTGTCAAAGCCTGAATAATCTCAAGACAAAGTAATACAATCCTAGATTTGTTGAAATTTTATACTATGCCAATTCGGAGCAAATGAAAATGTCTACATTTCAACCCCCAAGCAACTATTTTAAAACAACCAACATGAGTTAATTTGAAATTTAACAGGAAAACGTCATCAATAATGAAGAGTGCTATTCTTACATATGTTTGACATATGTTAACATATGTTATTCTTACATATATTTGGCTCAGTTTATCACCTCTAAAGGTAAGGCACATTGAACCTGTGACTCAACAGAGTTTTCGTGCTGGGGAGAAGATGAAATTCAGTTTATGTTTCTCCAGTTCTCTCTGCTTTAGGTATGCTCTGAATCAGACATCTACACAGGCAACCAGAAAGTCACTCAGAAGGGGCACAAATTAGATTTATTGTAAAATACTTTTCAAATACACCAACTTCAACTTGACAAGCTTACTCAACTCAGAAGTTGACTGAACATCAGGTTTCAGAGAAGTCATTGTGCTCAGTGGCCTTACAGAGGTGACGTGACACTAAAGAGATCTTATTAAGTAGCTATACATATATATGTGTGTTATATAAATATGTATTCCCACATCTGTGTATAACTTGTATGGGTTAATTTTATCAATTTACTAAATTGAATTTTTTAATTGGTTAGCATGCCAAATCTGTCTGTGTGCTTGTATATATAGTAGTTCCTAAATATTTGCCTACAGGGTGGTAAAGGTTAGTATAATTTCCAGAGTTTGATGCTTTCACTTTTCAGGCAGCTGGTTTTCATGGAAAAGTTTAATAAGAATGCCATTCCAACATATCACAGTCTAAGATTTTAGTACCAAAGTCTACCAACAGGGTGCAGTACAGTGAAGAGCTCTGTAATCTCAGTCCTTGACTCTACATGAGAATACTCTAAGAAGTACAACTTTGAGGGCCTCTCATGGCAAATAATTTCTCTAAGAAAACCAACCAGAAGAAAATGGCAAACTGCACTAATTCTCCTTAGTTGAAAGGAGCATACGAAAAGATCACGTCTCCTAGAGTATTAAGACATCCTGTCAGTTTTTTCCACAAGTACACAATATTGTCCATGCTTTGACAATATTTCACATCCTAACAGACCCAGGCAATAGCAGCTACAATACTGCTAGATATTGCCAGTGTGCGCAGTCAATGTCTTGCTAACTTAGAATCCTTTCTTCAAGGCAGGGGTGTGATGGGAGGGTATCATTTGTATATGAAGGGGCATTCTCAGACTAGGACTTGTACCTTGTTGTCTCCAGTTTGAAGCATTACCAGCTACTCTGGGGGACTTCTATCTCAGCAGCCCTCCACCACTTAACTGACTTCCCTCAGCAGCTCTGGGAATCACCCATCACAAAGGCCCCCAAGGCTGTTTACTTGGTAGTCAGTGAAGGATGAGGTTCCTACCCTTGAGCAGCCTTACCCATCTGAGACTGGGAAAAGATACCTTATAAGGGAAGGCTGAGCCAAGCTGTAGAGCAAACGGGGTGGGTGGGTGGGTGGGTGTGGGGGGGCTGCTGGAAAGGAAGGCTTAATGAATTGTTATAGGGGCTAATGTCCCTTTTAGTGTTCAGGACTAGTCTATAGCTGGTGTACTCTAACCACTATCCCCACTTGCTGTGATAAACTCAGGAGTTTAAAAATTGCAAGCTAGCCAGGGCTTTGAAGTTAAAAACTGATAAGTCATGAAATCCTAACTGGGTCCATTTAGCCAGGGTCCACATGTACATGTACACGTACATACATGTATATGTGTGTGTGTGTGTGTGTGTTTTAATGAAGTCCAATTTTCCTTGGGAATAAGCCTACTGCTATGCTTTTCCAGAAGCATGTCCAGCCACAACCCTAACAGACAACATAGACAGCAATGTTGACAGCTGGGGAACACAGCCTCCATTGCTAGGCTCTTTCAGTCAATGCAGCAATTGATAATTAGTGCAGAGAGCATAGCCGAATTCACAAATGAAGCATATTAATCTCTACATCCAGGATTCTAACCCCACTTAACAGACTTAGGAGCACTGAGAGTCCCAACATGTTCAACCTGCAGGAAGGCACTAGGGGAGGTGATACAGCATCCAGACAGCATGACACTTCTAAAACACTGGTAGATACAATTCAGTAAACAAGATCAGACACATAGGATGTCAGGTGACTGTAGATTTTAAATATATAACGGGTTCTGACAATTTGAAGTTGCGGTCAAACGTATCTTGTGACAATCTCAATTAAAACACATTGGCTATGGAATCAATGGTTCCACTGATCCCCAAGTGGTCAATAAAATGACTATCACCATCAATCTTGTTGTTCTAGAGCTATATGTATATTTATGTTGGATGGATATTTTGATAGTGTATGTTCCTCAGATTTATAATTTATACTATATATATATATAAATATGTACTTATACACAGCATGTATGAGTGGATTTTATCAATTATGCCACAAAATTTATTACTTGGTTATTATACAAATCCATGTGAAGTTAAGGAGAATGTTTCTTTGGATATATCTACCTGCCAAGTAAGCCTTCTGCCTTCTGCTATGCTTTTCCAGAAGCATGTCCAGCCACAACCCTAACAGACAACATAGACAGCAATGTTGACAGCTGAGTAACACAGCCTCCATTGCTAGGCTTTTTCAGTCAATTCAGTCAATGTAGTACTCCAACAGATGGCAGTTTTCCTGGTCAAACATCATATGAGCATAGGGATGATTGGTTCAAGCACCTCAACATACTAAGTACTGATGAGCAGCAAGAAGAACTAAACTGAAGTGACAGTGACTTGGGCATCCATCGAATGGGGTGACTCCTGGGTCAAATTCTATAACCTGCTTTCCCACCCTACAGTGCAGGCCTTTTCTTCTCCCTCCTCCTGACTGTGAGTCAACTGGAATAACAAAGGCCTGGAGAGTCAGTAATGAACTATTTAATTTCTATACTTAATTGCACTTCCTAACCAGAAACTTTCTAATGGTATCTGTTTTGCTCTCTGATAGTACAGGACATATTTGGTTAAATATATGTATCTTCTTCATGATATGTACGGTTATGGATGAAGAGACCTCACTTGTAGCCACCTCATGGTGAAAGTGATGTCAGAGACAGAGAAACGGATCAGAATTCGCTGCACTAAGTTATTGCCATAACTTTATTGCAGATTCTTACAAGTTTCCCAAGCAAGCATGCTGGGTGCTCCGAGTACCACCTGGTAGGTATGTTAACCATTAGGAAAAGCAACAGAATTGAATTACAGGGAACTTGAGCTTCTACATACAAGAACATCTCAGAGGAGATGACTTCTCATTGTTTCATTCCTACCACACTACCAAACATTAAAAAAACAAAAGCAATATTTGCTTTCTCAACCCCACCATAGATGTGGTGATTCAGCTAATAAGTAGATATCAATTCCAAAACCTGTGCAGAAACTCAAGCGAATGAATGTACTAGGTCCTCCCTCTCCTTCTGGGTAAAGTATGCACGCACCTACTGGGATAGAACAGTATTTATGCCTAGGTAACAATTTCAATTGCTATGGGGCACACCACATAGAAGGAATTTTCTCACCCTCTGTTAACAACTGACATGCCTACCATTTGCATATTTTCTATGGACCCTGATAAGAACTGGCATTATGATGGTCATTTAATGCCCACACCAACATAGGGGCTACCTCTATCTAAGGTTGACTCTACCTAAGATTGGCACATCTCAGAAGCAAAGGATTAAAAGTTCTTGAGGTCTCACAATTAATCAGTGGCATCTTGCTGTAAACCCAGTGCCTAACCCTGTAGGAGGAGCTAATGTGGGAGGAGTTAGGAGAGGAAGAGGAAGAGGAAGAGGAAGAGAAGGAATAAGGAGGAGAGGAGGAAAAGGAAGAGGAGGAGCTAGGAGAGAATAGGAGGGGGGCAGGGAGGAGATGGAGGCAGATGTTCACGTGTCTGTAGCAGTCGAAGGTAGTTGGTATATCTAGGTTGGGTATTGGGTTACACTTCTGATTGTGTGGGTATCTTGTTACTGATCTTTACCAAATATATAAGCCTTGATTAATCTTTAAGCATTAGAGTCTCATCTTTCTACTGGGCCTGCGTGGATGGTCTGGGTAATGCCCAGCCTTGCGGAGATGGCACGGAAGATTGGCAGAGCCATCTCCCACTCTGGCATCTTGTGGGTGGCAGGGTTGGTGTTTCTGGCTGGCCATTTCTAGCTGCTGTGTGCTTGTGGCCTCCAGCCGAGAGAGAAACATGGCGGCAGAGCTAGGCAGAGCCGCTGCAGCTTAATAGTCAGCTTGACCAGAGGCCTATTCAAATAATTAACACAACATGACCCCAAGCTTCGCCCTTCTCAATGACACTCTACACAATCACCCGATGACACTCCCCCGACTTTTTATCTTCCTTATCAATACATGCAACCTACTCACAAATGAAAAAACTATGGGCAACATATTGAAGTTCCAATGAAAGGAGCTTGGAATTCTCAGTCAGCGTTCCTCCCAAGGCTCAGCTGGCTCAGTCAAGTGAAAATCTTTCGGTAACT